TGGGCCGGGGCCGTCGCCGGTGACGGCGGCGCTGCGGGACGACCTGGGTTCTAACATCCACCTCCTGAAGGGGCTCAACGTGCGTTTCCGCTGCTTTCTGGCCAAGGTGCATGAGCTGGAGCGGCGCAACCGGCTGCTGGAGAAGCAGCTGGAGCAGCAGCAGAGCGAGCGGGAGCGGCGGCTGCGTTACAAGACCTTCTCCCGCGAGCAGGCTGTGCAGACTGGGCCTGAGCTGCTGCGGCCGCCGGCGCTCGGCGGCGGGCTCGGCAGCGGCGCGGCGGCCGGCGCCAACGCCAACGCCGTAGCCCTGGGCGGCCTGCCCCCCGGCGGCGGCTCGCATCCGCAGCACTACGGCCGCTTGCCTGGGACCATCTGGAGCTACACGCAGGTGCGCCGGACGGGCGGCGGCGGCGTAGAGACCGTGCAGGGGCCCGGCGTATCTTGGGTGCACCCCGATGGCGTGGGCGTGCAGATCGACACCATCACGCCCGAAATCCGTGCGCTCTACAACGTGCTGGCCAAGGTGAAGCGCGAGCGCGACGAGTACAAGCGGAGGTGAGTGGGGGACACAGGAAATGTCAGGTCAGGAGGGTCCCGGAGCGGCCGGCTGGCCCCAGCAGGTGGGCTGGAAGCTGTTTGCAGGGCTCCCTACGCACGCTTGAAAGGCTCAGTTATCTAGATGCAAGAATAGGGGCGAATACTGACTACAGTCGGGGGACGTGTCGGCCCCGTCATGGGTACAAGCACATTATGTCACATAGGTCACATAATAATCATCGGTGTTGTAGGCGATCTCATTTAATCTTAAGAATAACTCAGAGTTGAAGGCAGTTTTATTCCCGTTTTGCAGATGAGGAAACTGAGGCACTGAGATGTGAAGTGATTTGCCTAAGGTATCTTGGCTTGTAAGTGTTGAAGCCAGGATTTGACCCAGTAATTGTAACCAGTCCTGGCTGTTCTTTGTCCCAGCCTAGGTAGTTTTTTGTTTCCCTCTCTCTCTCCAGGAATTTAAAAGGCAGATTCTCCTCCCTCAATGGGTGAGAAGAAAATACTAGTAACCCACCCACTGCCCTCAGGTTCCTTGAATTAAATGATATCATGTGTTTGAAAACAGATGGATCACATAGGATTGGGGTTTGCCTTTCCTGCTCCAGCTTTGAAAGGTCCAGCTGACTGGACTGGACAACCAGACCTACATCGACTAACCACGGCTTTTAAAAATACCTCCCTTCATCCCTCATCTTCCCTCTCTCCTTAGTCTCGTGGTTTATTGCGCTCTAAGAAACTTAGCCTGAAAAGTCCTAGGAGGAGATAACCTTGGGCTGGAAGACTGAACATTGAATGGACCCAAACCACCGTCTCTGGCTAAATTACCCCATAGGACTGACCATCCCATTCCTGCCCTGGCCCAGATTCTCCAGCTGGGAAATGGTCATTACTTCCTGTCTGCAGCCTGGCTGACAGTGCTGTCTGCTGAGCTTTCTGATAAGAGGAGGGGGTCTGTCTGTAGCATTGCAGGCCTGGGGAAGGGAGGGGCCCTCTGTCCTTGATGAATTGGTGTTACATGGATCAAGTCCCATGGATGGGTATTCCGGGGCTTGAAGGATGTACTGAGAGGGACCTTTCCTTCCACCCCTGAGCCCTGGTGCTCACATGAATAGCAAGCAGGTTTAATGGCACAAAGGTCTGCCCAGGGAATTGGGCATGGGGTCTCCTTCCTTGTCTTCCCACTGAACAGGCTGGCCACTGGGCAGGGTTCAAATGCCAGCTCCATCCATCACCTGCCAGTGAGATTGTTGAACCACTTGGAAGCCTGTTTCCTCATGAGAGAAATGGGAATAACAAAACTCACCCAGAATTGTGTGAGGGGAGAGTAGGATGGCGATGGTGATGCTGTTTGGAAGGTATGAAGTACCAAGCTTGTGCTATTTAAGATGTCAGGCATGTTGTCAAACTAGCAGGGAACAGAAATGCCCTGAGTCTTGGGTCTTTGGCTTTCTGGGGTAGAGCTTAGACAGCCCTGGGAGATGAACTTCTCATGTGGGGTAGCCATTTCTTTTGAAGACTTGAGAGTGTGCTGGGGAGGCCACATTTCTACCCCTCCTAGGCAGCCTTGTTGGGGCAGGGTAGGGTAATAAGCACTTGGTCTCAGTGGTGAAACTGGGGCGGGCTGGATCCTCCTGTCCACCACTGCTGGTGGTGTCGTCATGCCCCAGGTTTGTGTTGTGTTTGTTTTATTGTGTGTGTACTTTTTGGACCTAGCTACTAAGGAGATGGGAAATCTGTGCCCAGATAGGTTGGCATTGAGCAACACTGATGAAGTTGCACCCAGGGCGTGGGGTGTGATGTCAGCTTCTGGCGCTGGCCTGGAATGAGCGGGTGCTGCCGAGACAGGTGGAGGTGGGCGTTGCTCTTCCTGCCCTGCTGGGAAGGTGTGTGTGCACCTTCCCTTCTGAATGTTTTTGTGAATTGGAAAGACAGATCTTTTCTGGAGTTGATTCAGGACTCAGGTTGGATTTTTCCAAAGCAAATGTATACCCTTCCCTAGGCCTCATTTTCCCTCTCTGTAAGGTGAAGTGGATGGGCTAGAACTGTGTTCCTTGAAGTCTTAGGCTTCCTCCGAGATGCTTTAGTGATTCCAAAATTATTATTTAAAAATATACCCACTGCCATCAAGTCGGATCTGACTCATGGTGACCCCTTCTTGGGTTTCTGAGGCGGTATCGCTGTAGAAGTATATTGCCCAACCTTCCTTCTGAGGAGTGGCTGGTGGGTTTGAACTGCCAGTCTTCTGGTTAGCAGTCAAATAAATGCCTTAGGCACTATGCCACCAAAGCTCCTATTTGAAAATATATTACAGTCTTAATACAATCATAAAAATGTGCTTGCTAACATTTTAGTTCTTAATGTTAACTCACTGGAGCCTACTGACACACCTGCTAATAGTTGGCCTCAAGTTAAAGGCTTTTTTTCTGCTGTTTTTTGTCTGAAGAGTATTCTTGCAGAGCAAGTGGCTAAAAAACTCTTCTCATTTGTAGCTACTTATCTGTGCAAGACAGGATTTTCTTGATGCTCTGTAGTCAAAACTGAAGACAGAATTAAACCAGATGCAAAACATTGTCCCTAATCCTGATTCTAAATGTTAATGAATCAAAATAGCCTCATCCAGCTCACTGATTGAATTTAGAATAGGTATTCGTTATATATTTGGACCTACAATATACATTTATCCAAGCAACGTTCTGTTGCTACTTGCTTGTATGTTTGGGTTTCTTATGAGAATTTCTTTTTTAGGGAGGTGCTATGTGATCAGCTTTAAAAAGCATTTTGAAACTACGAGGCTGGATGATATCAAGGATCTTCCCAGTCTTGACAATGTATAAATTTGAGTTCCCACTTCCAGCCCGCCATCCACAGGAAAAGTCACAAACTATGGAATAAGCCCAAGGTGTTTGCTGGGTCTTCAGATCCTTCCAGGATGCCTTGCATGATGCCCCAAGCAGTGACCAACGGAAGGTTCTTGTGCAAGAAAAATGTTCCAGGGTCTCCTCTGGTCCACCTGAGGGATCCCATGGCCTTGGACTCCCTCATGTGCTTTTGTCAGAGGGAAACTTAGGAAGTGTGGCTCAGTGTCCTCCAAACTGAAGGGTTTTGAGCTGCCTTCATGAGTTTTTGCCATATCCATGAACTATTTACCAGTACTATTAAAAACAAACAAACAACGAAACCCATTGGCATCGAGTCAATTCTGACTCACAGCAAACCTATAGGACAGAGCAGAACTGCCCTATAGGGTTTACAAGGCTGTAATCTTTATGGAAGCAGACTGACACATCTTTCTCCCATGGAACAGCTGTTGGGTTTGAACCGCCAACCTTTTCAGTTACCAGCCAAGTACTTAACCAGGGCTCCTTCCTATACTGTTAAATATTTTTAACAGCCTTATTGAGGTATAATTGCATATCTTAAAATTTACTTGTTTTAAATATAAAACAAGTGGTTTTTAGTGCATTTACAGACTTGTACAACCATTACCACAAACCAGTTTTAGAACACTTGCATCACCTCTCAAAGATCCTTCATGTCTGTTTGCAGTTAATCTCAGTTCCTACCCCGAGCCTAAATGAAAACCAAACTAAACTTAATGCCATTGAGTCGATTCCAACTCCTAGTGATTCCCCATAGGGATTCTAAGGCTGTAAATCTTTATGGAAGCAGATTGCCTCATCTTTCTTCTGTGAAGCAGCTGGTGGGTTCAAACCACCAACTTTTTGGTTAGCAGCCAGATGCCTTAACCACTGCACCACCAGAGCTCCTTTCCCAAGCTTAAAAAAACTAAAACTAAACTCACTGTGATCTAGTTGATTCCAACTCATAGTGATTCCCTTTGGGTTTCCAAGGTGGTAAATGTTTACAGAAGTAGATTGCCCAGTCTTCCTTCTGCGGATTGGCTGGTAGGTTTGAACCACCAACCTTTTAGTTAGCAGTCAAATACCTTAGGCACTATGCCACCAGAGCTCCCCAAGCTTAGGTAACCACTAATCTTTCTGTCTCTAGATCTGTTATCCTAGACATGTCATATCAATGGAGTCTGGAGATAATGTTTTTGAGGATGAACCTCAAAAGGTTCATCCATGTTGTTGTTGTTAAGTGCCGTCGAGTCGTTTCCAACTCATAGCGACCCCATGCACAGCAGAACAAAACACTGCCCAATCCCGCGCCAGCCCCACAATCCCTGCTATACTTGAGCCTGTCATCGCAGCCACCGTATCAATCCATCTCGTTGAAGGCCTCCCCCTCTTTCGTCGACCCTCCACCCTACCAAGCATGACATCCTTCTCCAGGGAATGGTCCCTTCTTACAACATGACCAAAATAGGTGAGATGAAGTCTGGCCATTCTTGCCTTCAAGGAGCATTCTGGCTGCACTTCCTCCAGGACAGATCTGTTAGTTCTTTTAGCAGTCCACGGTACTTTCAGCATTCTTCGCCAGCACCACAACTCAAAAGCATCAACTCTCCTTCGGTCTTCCTTATTCATTGTCCAGCTCTCACATGCATACGAGGCAATTGGAAATATCATGTCTTATGTCAGGCGCACCTTAGTCCTCAAGGAGATATCCTTGCTCCTCAGCACTTGATACAGTTCCTTCGCAGTTGACTTTCCCAATGCTACATGTCATCTAATGTCCTGACTGCTGCCATCCATGTTGTAGCATGGAACAAATCATTATCATTGAGTTGATTCCAACACATAGTGACCCTACAAGACAGGGTAGAACTGCCACCTAGGGTTTCTGAGGCTATAGATCATGTATCAGTAGTATGCTTCTTTTTATTGGTGAATAATATTCCATTATATGGATAGGCCACATTTTGTTTATCCATTCACCTACTTATTCAATATATTTTAGGTTTAAAAAGTTACCAGTGTGTTTCCTAAAATCATCCCATGTGCCCCCCATGGTACATGAACTATTGTTTGGAAATACCAACCGAAACCAGACACCCTGGCCTGGAGTGCCTGGCCCTGGCCCTTCACCACTGTTTTGGTTTC